GAACAATTTTGAGTGATGCCTCAGTGGCATCAATTTTTTACTTGAAAACATTCATGTAACCCTTAAGGAAACATTCATTTGAATTACTAGAGAGGGTACTTGGTTTTGTTTGTAAATAGCATGAATGACTCAGTAAATTTTGTGCAATTATCTGACAACATTTTTACAACAAACACACAAGTTGGAAAGTTTAAACCTCTTCGTTTTAGCTACATATCATATTCATAAACTCACTGATAATTGTTTTGGTACACAAAAAATTATACTCCATGCCTGCACAGAAATTTTCTTCAATAACTACGTTAATGATATTTTTGCAATACTGTTTCCATTAAATTACTATTTTACTTACTGTTTTAATCGATGCTTACTAGTGGCAGATGCAAGAGTGCAAAAGGTCTGTTTGCATTTCTGAAGGATCCAGTCTAAGACCTGGAGCCCAAAGCAATGTCTGTGCAAGTCCAAGTCAGAAGGCCAAAGGATCTTTGATAGGACACTGAAAGATCTGCATCAGACAGGCCCAAGAGCCCAGGCTAGAAGCTGAAATATCTGTGCCAGAGGCTAGGGATCTATACTAGAAGCCAGGATGTCACATCTAAGAGGAAGCCAGGATCGACGCTCCCTGAAGAAGAAAAGCCATCCTGAAGAAGCTCCTCCCAGGAAGATCAGCTGAGATTCTTCCCTTCCCTCTTACCCTTTATAGGGTTATGATCACAATCTCCCCAAAGTGGGTCTCCCATGCCCAGAACCCTGTTGACATAATTCGGCTGGGCATTGCCACTCAAACCAACAATTAATCAGTTAACCACTAATATTGATATCTCCACAATCTATCAGTCGATTTGTATGAAATGAGATATAAGAAATATAAAAGTAGTGGCAAAGCAGAGATACATAACAAATTATATAGTAAAGTCATGGTTGAAATAAAAGAAATGTTAGACTATGAGCGAGAATTCCAATTATCCTTATTATATAGTAAACTATTCCCCATACTTTATAAGACCATCTATAAATTATATTTCTTATTTTTTTTTAGTCAAGAAACCGGAATCTTGGAAAGCTCTGCAATTCCATATAGTTTTAAGGTGGCCTTTAGCATCTACCCACCTGGTTTCCAGCACTGAGATAAATGGCAACTCATTTACCTAGGCATTGATCTATGACCTGAATACTTAAATTACTATAAAACCACCTTGACTTTGTACATTTAGCAATTTGCAAAAAACTTTGATTGCATTTGTGTTTTGTAATAGTTCTGTGGAGTTGTCATTTTATTTTCATAAATTAATGCTTGACAATTCAGAAGGAATAAATACTTTCTGCAAACTTGCAGTACAGATAAATTTGACTTCAAAAATTCATTTAGCCTTCATTTATTCCAAAATTGTTGAATATATACTAGACAAAGAACTCGCTGTTATCTATCTGCCTATTGCCAAGTAAGTTTTCTTTTCTTTGTAGTTTTATTAATGTATCACTCTAGAATTTTGATCCCATATGAATATTATCTACAACTCTTTTGTTAGCATTTGTATCCACTCACATACTTTTAATGCATAAATAAACTTGGCCTCACATTATGAGTTAATATTTTTAAATCAAGGGCATACATATTATTTATTAAAATAATGATGCTTCTTAAAAATATATATATATACATATACATATATGAAAGCACCAAAAATAATCATCTACAACACCAGAAGTAAACACAACACCCTGGGAAAACTTGTCCAGGGATATTAAATCTGTTACTAATACAAAATTATTACCTGGGCCTCAAATAGCATTGTCTGTATGCAGCACAAAGAAATGCTTCTCTATACCATACATCTCTCCACCATATGACCATAAGCTGTCAAACAAAACATCTACAAATCTGTTCTCAGAAGTTATCTTTAAGAACTGATTCTAAATATTTACTTTCTGAGCTGGCACATAATATTCAAGTGTAGCCGTTTGATAAACAGTCACTGGCATCTTCACAGCCCCTGCCATGCGAGCCTACAAGTGCTCCTTTATATCACGTACCAGGAAGAAGAGATTGAAATAGCAGGGTGAAAAGGAAATGTTGTTGGCTGTTGATTATTTTATATCTTGCTCTGCTTTGTTTTCATCAGTCACATTTATCCCCAGCTAGCTGTAAGACAAATGTGAACACTGCAAAACCCAAAATCAGCCTAGAGCCTGGAAGACTGTTCCTGCAGTGCTATTGCATGGAAATAAATTTCACCCATGAACTCTGTCCATCAGTTATTTCTGCAGCAAGGAATTATGTGTGTACGCACAATATGAAGAAACTTATTGGCAACACTGATCTTTGATTCCCTCTTCCTGTTTTTTCTCATCTTCATTTTCACCTTCTTCCTCTTCCTCTTTTTCCTGATTTCTCTTCTATATATCACACATTTAATTTAGTGCATTCCTTCTGCTGCCAGTTGGGTTACTTGAGTCAGTAATTTGGCCTGCTTCAACCCCTAGACATTTTCAATAAAGATGCATAATTCGCTAGGATGCTGGATCTCTTTTAAGTATTTAATTGCCTAATCCTAACAAATATTATTGCTTCCATCCATTTCCTTTGCATTATATTTTGCTCTGAGTAGATATATAATTAATCTAATTATCCCTGAAGTGTAAATGACTGATAAGGCTTAATAAGACACCTGTTTGATTTTTTTTGTATGTCCATCTATAATGAATTGTTCTAAATTCAAGTATCTCATTTCAGACAAGTGCGAGTCAATGAGAAAAGAGCAATTTGGCATAGAAGATTTGTATTTTTCATAAATTCTATCTCAAAGGCAAAAAATATGCTCTTCTACCTACACACGCTAGAAAACCAAAGTTGTTATTTAACATTTAATATAAAGTTGTTATGTGAATATTTATTGTAGGGATACAGCAACCCCTACTACTGTTCTGAGCAGATAGAAGCATAGGGTTGATTTTGAGACCAGTAGGGATGAAAAGACAGGCCGGCCTCCGCCAAGGCCTTCTTAGACCTGAGCCTTGGCGTGACTTGAATGAAGACCTGTTCACATCTTCTGGCTGACTCAGAATGATGCTTTCTCTTAACCTGATTCTACCCTACAAGATGTTTCAGCTGCTTTCATCTCTGTACTTGATTATTGGCTGATTTCTGATGATGAAAGCCCACAGTTTTAAAAACTAGGATGTTCTAGGTGGTGACAATTTTTGTGATCATCTATAATGAACTCATGGGAGGAAATGTAGAACACAGAAAATACGTAATTTCTACCAATAAACTCTTCACAGCTTTTATTTCTAGAAACACTGCCTATAACACAAGCCACATGCGTGGCCTATATGTCTAAACTGAAACGTTTACTCCTTTCCTTGATCAGGAAAATAATTTCTCAATAATTTTGTGTTTGTTTGTTTGAGATAGGTGTTACCATGTAGTGTAGGCTGGCCTTGAACTCAGCATGTGGCTCGTATTGGCTTCATATTCATGATCCTCCTGCCTCAGCCTTCCAATTGCTGGGATTCTAGGTAGGTGCCACGACGCCCAACTTTCCCTGTTAAACATTATGCTATTTTGCTTACATCCACCTGAAGGGTTTTCTTTAAAACTATTTTATTTCTTAAATGCATTTATTAGATTTTTTTTTTTTTTTTGCCTAGTGTTGTATAAGCACCCTGAGGTCAGAGAATATTTTTCTCATTGTTATGTTCCCAAGTTGTAGAAATTCATAAATTATGGCATTAAAGAAGAACTAATCTAAATTAACTCTATGCCATCCCAGAATCTTGTAGCTCATTGAGTTGTCAAGTTACATCCAGGAAGACACAGGTCCACAGTGGACAAGAATGATCAAAAAACCCAAAGCGATGCCTTCAAATCCGGAAAAGGAAGGTAAGGGTCCCACTTTTTTAGAAAAGCTCACTGTAATACAACTTGTGCAAAGCACAGAACTCAGTCCTGAATCTCAGACTGAATTTTGTATATTTGTATTACCAGAAATGATTAGAAACAAAGATGCTTTGTTTCCTGAAATTCTGAAAGAGCAAGAAAAGCTTAAGCAAGAGACAAGTCTTAATGTTGGCGGAAAATCTGCAATGAAGTTACTGAAATACTAGACTGTGACAAAACATTTCCAAAAACCTTTCTCAAGTCAGAAAATTTTAATTAGTTATCACTTCTAAAGAAAGTATTTTCTTTTATATGATCATATAAGCAAATGATTTTTAAAGACTGCTTTTCTCTTCTTTGCTATAAAGAAATTTGAAACAAAAATCTTTATTACAATTCTATCGCTATTGCTATAACTATTCTAAAGCCAAACATTTCTGCTATAAAAACTGGCAAACTGCCTAATAGGCGTGTTGGAGAAAGATACTTTGTCTTGAAATAGCGTCTAACACCTTTGAGGAACCGAAAATGTTTACTGTCCCTTTGTGCGGTAGCTGTGCTCTTTCTTCTTCCTCTGGAAAACATCTCTCCCCATAACTTATGTAAGAAGGAAAAAAAAGGAAGCAAAGCTTTTGTAAATAAGGAGGGGAAGAGCGATTCAAGGCAGGGTAGGGGTGTGGGAAAAAATAAGAATCAAGATATATCCTTTACAGGTACAAATTCTCTATGGTGAGTGTGATCGTGGAATTAATATGAGAGTGAAAAACAATGGAAACAAAGTCTTTGTAGATGGAGTGGGTTGAAGGGAGGACGGGGAATGAGGAAAACAATAACCAAGATTGTTATGCAAAGGTACAAATTTCCAATAAAAAATTAATGAATAAAATGTACCAATAAACTTAATTAATTGAAAAAAAGAAAATGTTTGAGAATCTTCAAGGAGGAAAGAAACCAAAAATGTTCGCAATATTCTCTCAGCAAAGAAGAGCCGATTAAACCAGCATTGAAGCATTCCACACTTTTTTCATAAAAAATGTGCAGGTCAAATACAGCCCCTCTCTTCCCTTCCTCCCTCCCTCTTTCCCTCCCTCCCCCTTTCCTTCCCCGTCCTTGCCTTCTCCACCGCCCCCATGAACATTCTGATGCTGAAAAATCCACTTGAGATTCAGAACTCCATCGGGTTCTTCTTGTTTCCTTCATTGTCAGAGGTAATGCAGAGTTGTTTGCAGTAAGTTTTCAGGAGGAGCACTTTGTTCACTGATTTGTGAAATAGAATATAACCCAGATCAGCTTATACCCAATGACTGGCATTTATGGAGGTTATAACAAACACATTAAAACCTGCTTATGTCAAGAAAAAATAAGGAGGGTAGGGAGAAGCGACCTCTGAATGAGATGGGGTCATTTGGATTAATTTTCTTCCTCTTGATCACAGAAGAGGGAACTTTTCTCTGGATTCAGTTCACACTAATAAAAAGCAATATTCATTTTCATATCCATAATTCTGAAATATGTCCATATTACATGTCTATCAAAGGAACTGATGACACTGTGTTTTGTTCTGGCTTTGGTTTGCCTTTCAGAATGAAAGGCAGGTTTTATTATTAGAAATAAAAGAGATCTCATCTTTCAACATGATTTAAAAATAAGAGCTGAATTCAATAACTTCTCAGGGCCGGTGGAGCCCTCCTAACTTCCTTTCCAAGCCATGTTTTTGCAGGTTGGCTACATCCTAGGGTTTGCAGCAGAGATCTGAGCAGACAAGCCTTTGAATTGTGAATGAGTACTCTCTGCGGCTTTAGGGGTCAGGCTGCTCACAGGGGTTCAGTGACCTCAGAAACTAATTCCTCAGCAGCACAATCTTCAAAAGGAAGCTTGTGATTAAACTGATAGAATGCCAAATGGTGGTTTGATTAAAGTGGGAGGTTGGAAGAGAAGCTACCTTTGGAAACAGAACATTTCTCTAATGCTAATAACCTTTGGTTTTAAACGGGGAATTCATTCTGTGTTTGAGATACTGAGATTCACTGACAAGAGCCCAATCACCTGCTGCTGCCATTCCTAGAAGAAGAATGGAACGAGCAGAAAACATTTAGAGGGTTTTCTCCAAAGCTTCTTAGGAATTTCAAAAGTGAACCAACTCAAAGGAAAAAAAAAGTAACTTTTTGCCTCTTCTCTACGTCTTTACCCAAAGATGAAGGAAATGTGAGATTTCCCCAGAAAGGTGAAAATTCAATGGAACAGATTCTCCCGCCCAGTCTCTGGAATAAACACCACCCAATAAACACCTGTATTTTAAGCAGCAAGACCCGTTTCAGAGTTTAGAAGTATGCAACTGTAAAATAATATTAGTGTTGGTATAATAAGTTCGGGAGAACTGCTTAGGGTACCGGTAGGAAACAATGCGGTGTATATTACCTCATTCAAATTTTGCAAGCCTCCTGGAAGATTTATATATAAAATGAGGAAATCTTACCACAGATGATGTTTGGAGGTAACATAGCCAGAATATGCTGTCTGTGGCCAGAATCTGAATTAGTTCCAAGGGAATCTAGAGTTTCTTCTGTATTCTGTTTGTATTCTCTGTCCCCCGACTTGTGTCCCAGTGCACTGGCTCAGGGCTCTGTCTTTCGGTAAGGCACTGCAAACTTAAATTTAGGGTTAGCAAAAACTCCATTTGAATCCACTTACTGGCTGTGTGACATAAAATTGTACAATTTGAGGCTATTTTCTCATCTATAAAACTTGAGAAATAACTTCTACCTTACAGGGTGAAAGTGCTTAGCGAAATAATATATGAGAAAGCATCCAGCAAAGAGGCTTGTATAGATTTTGTTTTTAATAAACATTATTTATTGGTATTGAGCACTATTATTTTGTTGTAATGACCTGAAGAAGCTGTGTTTCTTCTCAATGGGGCCTTAGGTTTTGTACCTACCTTTCTCATATCTGTCAGCTCCTGATTCACAGAGGGTGGTTAGTGCCTGCAGGATTGCAACTACAAACTAGGGAACTACTAACAGAATACAAGTGTAGAGCAAGTGGCTTTTAGTGGTGTGGACATTGGTGATCCATAATATGAATCTAGGAGCAAAAGTCCACTGTTAGTAAAATAAAGTCATCCCATAGGACTACATCAGGGAGAAACAAGCAGGGGGAACCCTCAGAAATCTGTTTTCTGAACTTACATGTGGTCAGTATGCTACGGGCAATTAGGAAAAGGGTTCATCTCTACAGAGCTGAAATTACGATGGCCTTCTCTCTTCTGGTCCTGAGGTCCCAGGCTGAGTTTTGTGAATGTAATTTGTCTTTCATTCACTGGTCTACATACTTCACAAACTGCTACAAAAATTTCTTTAAAATTTTCCCTTGAAACTCTCAGTTCTTGACCACAAGGAGTTTTTTGTTTGTTTTTTTCAATACGTCCTTAAGGATGAGTTAAAAACCATTAATTCTTGATGTATTTAACCTGGACTGAATGGATGAAAGGCCAGAGGAAACACGGGATAACCTGTAAGAGTAAGGCAACAAGAGTGGTCACTGAAAACGCAGTTAAAATATAGGCCTTCCTCCCAGCTGAAAGGGAAGGGGGACACCTTCTCCAAAGACCCTAATTAATCAGCCCAAAGTCTTCAGACTGTCTTCACAGTACTGTATGTGTCTTTTGTATTTTAGGAAACTAAGGTACAGAAAAAAAATTCTCCCTGGCAGTTTTGTCCTATTCCAAAATCTCAGAAGTAATAAGCATTTTCAAAGTGTGTTGACACTCAAATGGGTAAGGGAGAAACACATTTTGCATGTAAGAATCACCATCGTGACTCTTGCTTTTCCCATGAACTGTTTGTATTTGTAATGCCCTTCATTTGAGTAAGCTTGGTCTCTCTTCTTCTTTCAGATTTTTTGAGCCAGCTTTAGAGGCAATGAAACCAGCAGGATAACTGAGCAGAATAGAACACTAAAAGCAGTCATAATTTATTAAGTTTATTATTAGTAACCATGATACAGAGCTTTCTTAGTCACATCTGTGACTGCTATAATTCCTAATGATACTGTATTATTTGTACTCTAAAACCCCAAAGTGCTTACTACATGTTACAAAGCTATGAAAACACAAATCTACATAGTCATTGATAAAAAATTTCTATTTTTTTATTGTTCAAGCCGCATTTAACTATACTTTAAAAATCTGCTACACTAAATATATAAATGACCACAGAATTATACTTTTGAAGAAGATCTCAAAAAGTAATTTTGTCCACTGCACTGGCTTAAATAGCTACCTATTCAAATTATCAAAGACATGTGGTTATAATTCCAATTTTAAAAATCATAAGACATGAATCTTCACAACTCCCTAGTCTGCTTTGGTACTTGATCCCCAGTCTGTGATTAAGCTTTATTATAAGGGGAATAAGTTAGAACTAATTATATATGTACATGTTGGAGTATATCCTCTAATTGGGTAAAAAATTTACACCACCTTCAGTAAAACAGACACATAATAGAATTCCTTTTTCAAGATTTAGCGCCAAACTTTCCTAACTCCCTTAGTCCCTTCTTACAATTAACAGTGCCACTGACTTTAATTCCTTCTGGCACTCTTAGAACCCTAAATACAAATTTATTTTCATATTTGATAGAAATAGCAATAAATAAGATATGGGGAAAGGAGCCAAAATAAAGACGACTGCTTGAAACTTTAGAGTTAGTTATGTTCATTAACACTAGCCAATTCTGACTGCTTAAATTCAAAATCAGTCCATGTGCAGACTTTATCTGCAAAGTGAACTCCTCATTAACTTGCTGCTACTAACCTTTATATTTCTTTCCAAAAGTTCACTGGTAGAGTCATGTTTCCCCAGGAAACCTGGAAGAGACTGAGATATTGAGGCAGTGTCTTCGCAGGAAATGAAAACAGGAAAGGCAAGGGAGGGTGATGGAGCAGGAGAGGTGGCTGGGCAAACGTGCATCAAGGTGACGGGATAATGAGACTACAACTCCTGTGATTAAATTAACTGATTTATTAATCTTAAGATATGGATTGGTAACTTTATACATATATTTATATAAATGCATTTATATATTTGGATACATACATATGCATGTTGGTGTGTATTTGTGTGCGGACTAAAATCGGGGGTCTGGTGCATGTTAGGCAAACACACTAGCAGTGACCTACATCCCTACCTAGTTCAAAATATGTGGAAGTATGCATTTGGTATATTTTTATTAAAATGAAACTTAAGCAGTGTAGAAAATTAGTTGATAGTGATATTTTTGAAGGAAGTCTCACCTCAGTGAAATTTGAGACTTGTCCTTTACCAACTCAGTGATAGTAAGGCAGTTGCTTAACTTTTCTAAGCCTGTTTCATGCATTGAGTAGGGTAATAAGACTACATAAGGCTGTTGTAAAGGTTGAATAAATGACACTTATGAATACCACTTATGTAGTGAATATTCAATGAGGACAGCCATAATGAAGTTTCTAAAATGCTTGTCTTCAAATTTCGTTTATCCATGAAAGTTTCTCCGAATGTTGGAAGCTTCTTGTGTAGAATGAAGTTTGTGCTGCGCTGTTTGCTGTAGAAGGTGGGGAACTTGAAACTGCCCAAACTCTCTCCCCAACCCCACTTCCACCTCAGTAACCCCACAGGGCTCTGCAGACAGTAGCGTGAAAGTATCCTACTGTCAGACACCTGCCTTTCTTCAAAATGAATTATTAAGTAAACAGGTGAATTGATCTACCCAGTTGCCTTCTCTAGAATTTATTTCACTTTTTATCAGTTCTTTTGGGCATTGGTGTTCAAAATACTTATTTTTAACACTACATATTGTGCCACTCAAATTCTATGAGTTTTAACATCTCCCACTTTATGTTCTTTAAATTAGTTATTGTTATAAAGCATCATTCAAAAACTTTAACTACACAAATATGCATAATACCTTTAAGCAAATTCAGAGAGCCTTCTGCTCTATTTGGATTACTTCTAGCCATAGAAGTTCTGTTGAGAACATGGTTTTGTAACTCAGTGGCATCTTTACACAGATTAGAAAAAGCCAACAATTGCTTTGAGCAAGTCTAGACCTATAGTATGTGTGGACTGAGCAATGGCCAGGTGTCAGCCATCCCTTGGACCTTGGCTATCGTCTTGGCTTGTGATAGCCACAGCCAAGGTCTTGCCTATGACTCAAAGATTCACTTATATTGATATTATTATTAATTCCATCTCTAGCAGGAGGTATTTTAGAAGCAACAATGAGCTTAAATTTATACTAGGTCATGTTGAAAGTCTCATTTTTTAAGAGAGTTTTAAGAACAGGAGATATTTTTAAACTGTTTTTATGCCCTTTGATGATTAAAGAGATTTTTTATATCAAAAATTTCCCTGGAATATTCTGAGTAGTGTCTTTTAAAATTCCTAATAATAGCTTGGTCAAGAGACTGAAGCAATGCAGTACCTTTGGTAGGTGAAGTGAGAGAAACACATTTTCTGGCACTAACTCTGCTTCCCAGGAAAAAAAGTTTTAAGTTGTAGAGCATTGGTTATGTTTAGGGAGGCTTTAAGCAGGGTGGTTCTTTAACAAAGGTATAGTCATATGACTAAAGAAGTTGGAAAAGTTAATCTGCAGGACAAGTAAATATGAGACTGTTATTAGTAGAAAACTAAAGTTTTATTGTCTAGAGGTATGTGAGTACAAAGCTTTGGAAATGGAAAAGCAGCTTAGACTTGGTAAAAGCACTTAAAAGACATTGTTAGGTCAGTGTGAAACAGTTTATTCCACAAGTTAATCATTTAAATTCAACCTGCCTGTGTTCTGGTGTCATCATTTGCAAAATGAAGATAGGATCATTTTTACACAATTGTAGAAAATAAATAAGATAATCTGTATGATAGCGCCTACAGCCTAAGAAATATTACTTCTTTCTAAGTGATTTATTATTTAAAACAATTTAATCTGAACCTGATCTTCATTCACTTCAAAGCCTGGAGCACACGAGCTGGAATAGTGCAGCCCCAAAACACTTTTGTGGTGATGAAAATATTCAATTTTTGTGCTGTCCAGTGATGGTTACTGAGCAGGGCAGGGCAAATGTGGTAAAGGTGGATAAGGAACTAAATTTTTAAATAATGGAATTTTACCGAAAACACTTTGTAAAAGTGTGACTGGTGTACAAAACGTTGCCCGTGTTTGGCATGTATGTCTCGGGGAGTTTGCGGATAAAAGTATAACAGTAAATCATCAGGACCGTTGAGGCCATCAACCATGACACACCGAAGTGCCCACCCACTTCCTTAGTAATTCCTCCTTACCTCCTCCTCCATCTAATCCCTTCCTTCTTCTTTCCTTTCTCTTTGACCTCCTTTCTTTCTTTTTCTCCTTCCTTTCTTTTCCAAATGCAACAATATCTACCACTTACAATTCCAGTTATGTAATATCAGGAGCCATGGTTACTCTTCTGCGTTTAGGACATCTCCAGAATGTATTACCTTGTATAACTGAAAACTTTGCATCTTTTAACCACAAACTCCTTATTTTCCTCTTCCCGCTACCCCTGGAATCCACCACCCCACTCTCTGCTTCCTTGATTTTCACTATTTTAGACTTCACCTGGCATTTGTCACCTTGTGCCTGGTTTATTTCACTT